ATATAATGTGTTTTTATTATTTAATTTCATATTACTAGTTAAAATTAATACAATTTAGACGATTTTACATGTGTTCAATTTGTAAATGTGCTTCAGTTTTTGCACGTTTCACTTTATTTGAATTTTTAAAATCCTGTTCTCTGATTGGATAATATGTTGTGGCTTCATGATATTGTGTTACTATTGGTTGAAATAGGAAGTAAGTACAAAGCTAGTGGAAGTTCTATATATTATGTGTACAATAACAATGAAACTTGAAACAAATGGTAGTTTTCTCTGGCGGGAAGGTTCCCGTGTATACCATAGTTGTTACGTTCTGCGAAGTAAACATTTAAGTTCTTAAATACACTTTTGTTACACATAATTCATCAGAAAGTATGATATTTGTGTAATTACATAAGCTTACTTACAATAAATCGATAATTATTTATGACAAGGATGGTATTCGTGAAATTTAATATTGCGTAGTTATTTGAATGAGCATGCAATTGTACTTAGGTCGTGAATGTTTATAAAACCATGGAAAGTGATATAAGAAATAAAAAGAAAAGAAAATCTGCAGAATCAGAGGGATACCAATTAAAGCGTTCTAAAGGGAAAGAAAATGATTTCATTTTCTCAGAAGAGGTGAGTGGTTGGAATTAATGTAATTTAGATTAAGAAATTATAGACAGTACTTTATTCATGTAGTATTATTCACGTTTAATTGCATGTATAAAATTGTTTATTTCAATATACAGGAGTTTTTTCTAGTCAAACTTTGTCAACATGTTTTATGAGTATAAATAAGAAAACAATGTTATATAAACATAGGTTGTTTGAAGCTTTATTAAAAAGTTATAACAAAAATAGGAAATAGAAGTTGCATTCAATACCTTCAATGACATCAAGGAGTACATGCAGCTCGTACAAACAGAGTACATGTAAATATCACTGATCTATTCTTATTTTATATCATACTTACCACATATCAGTTATTGTTATCTTTATATTTCATATTTTTGTTAGACCTTTTTCACAAAGCTTTGAACAACCTATGTTTATATAATATTCCTTTTTTGTTTATACTCATAGAACATACTGACAAAGTTTGGTTGAAAAAAAGTGAGATATCTTAAACTACTCTAATTATAAAAAATTGGTACATTTGATGTAGTTTTATATAAGTTTTTAGTTTATGTTAAATCTATTTTAGATTATCTTAAGTTTATATCATTTATATCTTATGTTACAGTCTAAAACAGGTAAAATAAAGAAGATTTTAATGCGAAACTTTATGTGTCATGATGCTTTGGAAGTAACATTAAATCCAAATGTAAATTTTATTGTTGGTCGTAATGGAAGTGGCAAAAGTGCAATATTAACAGCTTTAACAGTTGGTCTTGGTGCTAGGGCAAATGTTACTAATCGTGGAGCAGCTGTAAAAAGTATAAATATATTATTGATGATTTTTTATAGTTTTCTTTTCATAATATAACTTTTATATTTAGGTTTCATAAAAAAAGGAAAGAACAGTGCAACCATTGAGGTAACATTATGTAATAAAGGACCTATGGCATATAAACCTGATACTTATGGTGATTTAATAACAGTCTTTCGAAATATTGGAAGTGCCTCAACCTATAAATTAAAAAATTGGAAAGGTTTATAGAATCACTGTCTGTGTTATTATTAATTATTAATTACATTTTTATCTATATTCAAATTTTTATTAAATTTTATAGGAGAAGTGATTTCTACTAAAAGAAATGAACTGAATAACATACTAAGAGCAATGAATATTCAAATAGATAATCCTATTTCTATATTGAATCAAGACATATCAAGAACATTTTTAGTATCATCCAGACCAGAAGAAAAGTATCAACTATTTATGAAAGCAACACTATTAGATGTAATTGGTAACAATTATAAGGAAGCTGAATTGATATGTGAACAAGAATATGAAAAATTGAAACAATATAATGAAGTATGTTTTTACTATAATTTTAGTAATAATCATTTTCATATATATTATAAAAATTCTGTGTAGATATTATTTGAGGCTAGGAAAGAGATAGAACAACTTAAAATCAACATAAGGAAAGCAGATGAAATTGATAAATTTCGTAACGAAGTAGTTACTCTTGAAACAGAATTACTTTGGGCAGTTGTAAGTGGTATATCTAATATATGAAAATTTTATAACACAGTTATTTTTGATAAAGATAAAGTAAACATTTTATTGTGTAGGCTATATCAGAGGAGAGAAAATTACAAAAGATTGAAGAAGTTTA